TTCTTGTGTGAAGGAAAGTTTCTGACATTGATATTTAATAGATATTTATGAATATCTAAAGTATTTAAGCTTTTAAATAAAAAGAAACTTGAAAAGACTGAGTAACTATTATTTGTGCCTTACATTTCTAAGTTTGGAACCATATCCTTTCATTCTATGAAGTGTGTTGTTACGGAGTGCACTAACCTGGCTAAAGATTAAGATTTGAACCGTAACAGTCACCTTACCATCTGACCCCGTAGTTGACTACAGTGCTGCAAGTCAGTGCGTGTCCCCTGATGCAACTGCCGGGAGCCCAGTGCCGGAAACTCGCTGGTATTGCCCTCCTGCGGTATCAGGGGAACCGCGGTCGGAGCCCATACCGACTGTTGCTGGGTGGTTCCAAGGCTGGGTGGCGTCGGGGCTGTCGGGTCGTTCTGATGACGAACCTGCTGTCCCAGTGCTGCACCATCACAGGACAGCTCCGGTTCCAGGCATGGTGCCTCTTTGAGCAGTTGGCACACTTGGGCTCCGGCCGAAGGGCTTTGCCGGTTGGCTCTTTGAGGATGGCAATGCAGTCTCCTTCGAGACGTGTGCCTTGCTGCACACACCACACTTCTCTCTAGCTGGCAGGTTGGCTGCAATAGATTGTAATCCTACAGTTGAAGCATTGTATCTGGCCGACAGTAGGTTATGGGTCTTGAATCTTCCCATACCCCAAGGTCCAGGTCATGGGAAGTGGACCTTGTGGTGGATCGCACCTGGCTGGTGGGCACCTTGTTCACTGTTGGCAGTGTGATCCGCTCTGCCTCGACAATATGGGCAATTCCAAAATGGGGTCCCAGTGGGAGGGGCACCTTCTCCAAAGCAACAGTTCCACCATGCTGGGATGGGTCACAACCAGCCCCTTCAATTTCCTCGTAAGAAATCCTGCGTCCCGTGAATACCAAAACCTCGTCCTGAGAGTGGAACTCGCAGTGGAAACTTGAAGGCCCGGGGTAGACCTTCCAGATACCTTACAAAACCTGTAATCTGGAACCTTGAATTTGGTTGAAAGTGCCCTGGTTGCTTGAGCCGAGCAGGAGCTGGAATTCTTCCCGTCCACTGGAGTCAGCCAGTCCCCCCGTCCACTTGTGAGGCCAGCGCAAATATGTAGGACCTGGGATGGCTCTATCCATGCCATTGTAGAGCTACAGCCTCCTGGCTTCCTTTCCACAATCCCTGTGGTCATCTTGGGGTGCAAAGTCTCCTTGTTATCGCTGCCGACGGATCTAGTGGCAGTATGGCAGATACAATAGTCCTCTACTGTGCATCCTTACCTTACTTGGTGGGGGCTCTCACCTGCCCCACGTCGTCCTCCAACACGCATTCCAAAGAACGTTTCAGCCCTCCTGGTCTGTCATGGTGACTTAGTGGGGGGACAGAGCTGCTGCCTGTGGCCCTCACAGCCGCCACACTGGGTGCAGAGCTGTAGCTTCGTGCCCCAGTCAGGGCCCGTAGACACCCACACGTGGCCTCACTGCCTCCTGTAACACTGAACACAGTCCAAGGACCACTGAAACGGGTCGCCAATCTGGCATAACGTCTTAACACAGATAAAACTTGACATCTAGACCGCGGGTTCAATCCCGGCCGGGGGTATGGTTTCACAGATATATATTCCCAAGGGAACACAACCACACTCTGTCCTACAGATCATTCCACAACCGGTGTTTCCGTATCCAATCTAGATGAATCACGTAATGTGTTCCATCGTGTAACCAACCGTCCGTCCATGTATATTTAATATTTTATGTTAATATGCCTTTGTAAAGTTTTTAAATAAATATAAAAAAAATGAAAATAAGATACGATATACTAATCAATTTCCTAAATTTGCTTGTAACAGATAAGTGAACTATAAGATATGTAGGTGACGTGGACAACACGAAAAAAGACAAGAATTTCAAGTCATAAGGATTATCGAGCAGGACGAAGATTGGAAAACAGTGTGTTTGTGTTCGCAAATCTGTGGTTAGTTTACGCACAGATTAGCGTCATTCCCTGGTGATATTAGGACTGTGTTCAGTGCTTTCAGAGCAGTGAGGTCGCCGCAGAGGGTGGCTACGGGCCCCGACAGGGGCACTGAGCCTCACAGCTCTGCACCCAGTGGTGGGCGCTGTGCGGTCACAGGCAGCAGCTCGTGCTGGCTCTGTCCCCACACCTAAGTCACCATGACAGATCCAGGAGAGCGGCCTAAACGTTCATTGGAATGTGGGACGAGTTGGATGGACGACGTGGGCAGGTGGGAGCCCCCCACCAAAAGGCCAAGGATCAGTGGAGACTACTGTACCTACCAATCTGCCACTAGGTCCGTCGGCAGCCCCTACCCAGAGACTTGCACCCCCAGTTGGCCAAAGGGGGTCCGTGGAAGAAGCAGGAGGATGTAGCTCCTCAAGTGGAAGAAGGACCATCCCAGGTCCCTACACCAGTTTTTTCGTTGGCCTCCACAGTGACGGGGACTGGCCTGACTCCACGTGGAAGGAGGAGTTCCCGCTCAGCTCGGGCACAAGCACCCAGGGCCTTCCACCAAATTCAAGGTTCCCATCTACGGGTTTGTAAGGTATCTGGAAGTCTCCCCCCACCTCAATTTCAACTGCGAGTTCACTCTCAGAACGAGGTTCTGGTTCCATTCCTCCCAGACGAAGACTCTTACGAGGAGTTGAAGGGGCTGGTTGTGACCCATCCCCGCATGGGGAACTGCTTGCTTCGGAAAGTGTACAAGGGGGTGCGTTTAACACGTCCCTGTGCCCCTACCACTGGACCCCATTTTGGAAGTGCCGCAATATTGTCAAGGCGGAGCGACCACTGCACGGTGAACAAGGTGCCACTCCGCCAGGTGCATGATCCACACACAAGGTCACTTCCCACGCACCTCTGGACCTTGGGTCTGTGGAAGATCAAGACCCGACCATACCTGTCAGGGGGCCCAGTACATGCTTCAAAAACTGCCAGGGGTTCCATCATATGCAGCCACTGCCAGCGAGAGAATGTGGTGTGTGCAGCAAGGCACACGACCTACTCGAAGGACTGCATTGCAATCCTCAAACAGCCAACTGGCAATCCCTTCGGTCCAGAGCCAAGTGTGGCACTGCTCAAAAGAGGCACCATGCCTGGAACGGAGCTGTCCTGAGATGTGTATCAGCACTGGCAGCAGGTTCATCATCGGAATGACCAGACAGCCCCGACGTCAACCCCAGCCTTGGAACTGCCAAGCAACAGTCAACATGGGCTTCCAATCAATTGTTCCCCCCGTATACCGCAGGAGGGCAATACCAGCGAGTTCCCACACCTAGGGCTCACAGCGGAGGCATCAGGGGCAGACACTGGTTTGCAGCAGTGAGGGCACCTGCGGGGTTCAATGGCAAGGTGGCCAAGAAAGACAGAATCAAATCATTGGGAAAAACAGCCACAGGCCAGGCAAACACTGCCCAGCAGTCCCCACTGGGCACCAACATTCCCTTGCTATAACCACCAGCAGGCCCTCTTCCCAAGGGCAGGCCCCTACTGTGAGCGCCAGATCCAGGCAAAGGGAGGTACCGTCGCCAGGGGACTTGGGGAAGCCCATGGCCACTCATGCTGGGCTCCAGGGTGCACCCCAGCATATGCTGCCTGCAGTGTTGACAGCCACCCAGAATACCCTGAGACCCAGGCCCCCGACTCGACGTGTCGTCTAGCTCAATGCCTGCAGAGGTAATGGTCGAATCCTTTCCGGATAGAACTGAAGAAAACCATCGGGTCATCCAGCGATCCTCTGTCGCGCAGCTGCCGTCGGCGAGAGGAACAGGGGCGCCTGCAGGCATAGCTCCTGTCATGGATGCTGGCGAGGTTCCTACTGGACAGGAAAAACTCAATGGAACTTTCAAGAGCCATCATCCAGGAGTCCTTCCAGTCTGTGATGGAGGAGGCCCCCCGGATCGTCAACAACGGACGACGATTCCCAGGCAGAGATGGAAGCAGTGAGCCACCTCTGCGGCCCTTGGAAGTCCTCCAGTGGAACATATGTGGGCTGCAGCCGAAAATTCACTTTAGTGATTGAAGCTGCATTCATGATGAGTTGATGTCTTCCTGTTTCGGAGACACTCACTGATTTGTCACGTCCAAATGCAGCCACGTATTTCTCGGGATTCTCATGCCTACCTTCAGCGCCTGGAAGACTGGCAGGGGCAACGGCAATCTACGTCAAAGGACCACTATCCCTCATTCAATCCCACTGTCCCATCCGACGGTGAGGGAGGGCGTAGAGGTTCCAGGCTGTCACACCCTACACTTGGGGGATAGACCTCTCCGTGGTTTACAATATTTACAAAAGCCTCACGGTACAACCCTTGACATTTCAGAGGTGGCAGCACTCGCCCCACGGGAGGGTCTTGTTGACGCTGGGAATGTCAATGCCAACCACCCAATACTTCTTTTCTGTCTCTCCTACCAACGCAGCTGGGAGGGCACCTTGCGGCTGCGCTGGAGGAGTCCCTGAGATCGCCCGTCCTCAATAATGGTGAGCCAACCCATCACTATGGTGGCCGCTTGGATGTCACACTACTCATCTCTAGGGCGGTTGCTCTCACGAGTGCGAGATGGGAGGTCCACCCTCCCGTCTCACCAGTGATCACTTTGCAGAGGTCACTACGCTGATGGTCCACGTGGCCGCTCCCCACAACACTATCCCCAATGGAATCTTAAAAAGGCCGAACTGGGGCCCCCCCAGTGCATCCAGGAGGTCATTGAGCAACCTGGTGGGCAGATCTCCCTTCCAGACCGACCCAGATGAGGCGGCTCAAAGCTTGCAGGTGGCCTTCCACATGTGCAGCTGATGCAGCAATACCTAAGATTACAGGCGGAGGGTCATATAAACTGACTGGTGGTTCTACAATGAGGACATCAGGGAACAGAACCACCGCATCAATGTTGTACGCAAGTTGCACAGGCGTAATAATCCCAGGTTTGAGTCCATGCGTCTGCTCTCAGGAAAGTGGTGCGGCATGCACGCCATGTCTCGCACAGGGTCGGCAGCTAAATTGGTTCGGTGGTGTGCCTCCTACATATGCACTCCTCCAACCTTATCAGAGATTTGGACCAAGTTTACGATTGCGCACTGGGCAGCGTCGCATGTGGCTCGGTTGCACCCAGACTCTGCAAGGAGGCAGAGCGTCTTGGAGGACCTATTCACCTCCAGACGCCATGGCTCAAACTTGCCTCAGGATCCCAGGACCCCAGGCACCCTCCTTTCCTTCCTAGAAGGGTGAGGTGATCCAAGCAGCATGCCAGGCTAAGATGTCACGGATGAAGACTTCACTGACCAGGAGCTCCCAGGCCGCCTTCACATCTCATCGAGACACTGCACCGGGCAGATGGTATCACCTATGGCATGATCACTCGTCTGGCCATTCTGGACATTCAACTGTCCAGGGGGTCCATCAACCAGACTTGGGAGAGATTGCAAACTCCCTGTCAGTATGGAGGAGGCTGACATCATACCGATTCCTAAGCCTGGGGATCCTGGCAGTGTGAGACCCATCTCCCCTCACAGTTTTGCAAATCTCGAAGGTGTCAGAAAGGATGGTGTTGGAGCGCCTGAGGTGGAAGTTGGGCCCCTCCCATAACACACCTATGCTTCACCAGAGGAAGTGGGGGCACTTTCGAAAGCCTTACCACTCTACTGCCGGCATTGGTCGACCACAAGCCCACATTGTTGTCTTTCTTGACCTCGAGAAGTTTTGAGAGCTAGCCAGTGCAACCTGCCATCCTATCACACTTGTCCGCAGGGGGATTAAAGGCAGGCCTGCTTTCATGGCTTCGTTCCTATCCTCCAGGACAGGCGGGCCAGGTATGCTTCCAGGGGCATGCTCCTTTCTCCTCAAAGACCCTGTACAATGGCACTCCACAGGTGGGGTGCATAGTCCCCCACACTGGTTCAATGTACTGATGCACCAGCTGGTGTGCCTGCCTTTCTTCTCCAGAGGCCACCACCTCCTCAGCTATGCCGATGACCTGGCACTTGTCTACCTAGGAAGCGCCGTCTTTGCAGCGTGCCCAAGGAGGATCTCGATCTTCTTGCTTCACATGCCCATCACTTGGACTCAAGATATCTGCGGTCGAAATCGAAAGCCATGCTCCTTCGCACCAAGGTGCCCAGTCAGAGGCTGCGGGTCCTGGCATCGAACTGGAGTGGGTTCACAGTTATGGTACCACCATTGGCATCTACATTGAACAGCACCTCATCTTCCAGAAAACATGTGCGCCACATTAAAGAGATGGGCTCTGCAGAGGGTCAGGGCATTGAGTGCCATGGCCAACCCTAGGGTTGGGGCCAGCCTCGAGGTCATGAGGCTGTTCTAACATCCAGGCAATAACGTTCCCTCATTGACTATGGGGCACTTGCTTCTGGTTCAACGCCAGACACAAAAACATCAAATCCCTCTGTGACATCCAAACCCAGCTGTACGGGCCATGCTGGGCTCCTAGTTGGGCCAATGCAAGTTTTCTCTGAAAACCTTGAGGTGCAGCTACAGCTCTTGAAGACAAGATCCAACTGGTAGTCTGCCAGAGGATTGCAAAGTTATCTTCCGACTCCCCAGGGGCTGACAAACTGATGAAAGGAGATTTACAGGTCCGCCAGGGACAGGCATTCCACTGCATACCGGCCTTCCGAAGATTTGGTCGGTAGCAATTGCCCACACAGAACTCTTGCCCATACATTGCTCCAGGCGGGAGCTGCGACAGACTGGCAGCGAACTACATGTGCCACCTCCCTTGGGCACCAAGCTGTTTGCGTGCGGGCTGGACAACGCCTACCAGACAGCAAGATGCCAATGCACCCAGGACATTCTGCACCACCTTTGCCCTCGGCAAGCATTGTGGGTGCGTGAAGGCCCAGGGGGTTGGGTGTGTGCCAATTACACTGATGGCTCAGAGACCCCAGTGGCAGTCCGCACACTGCAGATTTCCCAGCAATTCTGACACAGGTTGGGCGCCTCCCGACCATTGCAACCATCCTCCAGGCCGAACTTTTTTGCCATCCCAAGCTCTGCGGCATGCTCTTGCAGACCATCAGCATCCCCCCCCCCCTCATCCACGTTGAATCCAAGGCAGCGATCCAAGCGCTTATGCACAGAGAGCCAAAGGACAAATACACTTAATCACTCCATCCTTGGTAAATCCTGCGACTCTCATGGCCCAGTCGCAGGCTACCATCAACGAAATCCCGGCCATGTGGGTAACCCTGGCAATGATGCTGCAGATGAGGCTGCTAGGACTGCAACCCTCGAGGTACAGCCACGTGCTGCTAAACAATCTCCATCAGCCTCAGCCAGGATTGCACTGTGGGCTGCTGGTGGCGGCCAGGCACCCATTCCCTGACCCTGGGAAGTTCCCACGGAGCCCTCTGTTGTAGTCAGGGGCTGACCCACAGGGTGCCCCCTCCAAGTATTCGGACACAGTCCAGGGAACTGAGGTGCATATCCACCGCCTAGCTTAGGGGATCCCACCACTGCGCGGAATGTTGAACGGGCCGAGAGGATAGCTCCTGTGCCCATTGTGGACCGAATGGTTCCGCACCCTTGGTGGCACTACCTGTTAGACTGCCCGTCAAACGATGCCCCTTCGCCGTAGACACTTCCCAATGACCCCATAGGGGCAGACCCAAGGATGAGGCAGCACACTTGTGTAACTTAGAGCTGTCAGGGACCGATTGGAAACCTTACTCCAGTCCTTACACTCATTCGCCCCCCCCCTCCCCCCCCCGCTGAAGTTGCTGCAGGGCTGCGTTGGCACTCCATTGCAACTGCAACACCAGCCACTGTTAGTGCCACTAAACGTTTGGTACGTCCCATCTGGCCATATCAATTATATCAAAGATTAGCCGGTATTCTCCCGGCCCGGGCCTTTCCAAGTGGTGGCCCGGGCTTTGTTCCCACTTTAGGGATGTTTTGCTGAGCCTAAGTCTCACCTGGGAGGAAGCACAAGTACCTCCTCATCTTTGGACCAACTGTCCCCAGGCCCTCAGCCACAAGCTAGGCCTTCTCTGGTCTGCCATCGCCTGCCGCCAAGGGGACTAATGGGAATGACTTTCTTATGAGCTAAAGGCTCGGGCTCAGGCACTACCCTACCCTAGAAGGTTAGGCATGATGTCGATCATCTGGCCATATTATTATTATTTATTATTTAAATATTAGCCGTATTCTCTCTCCGGCCCGGGCCATTTTCCACTGGGTGGCCCGGCCTTGGGGCTCCCTCTTAAGGAGTGTCCTGAGACTAAGTCTCCCATGGGAGGAGGCACATGTACCTCCTCATCTTTGGGAAACCAACTGTCCGCAGCCTAGCCACAAGCTAGGCCTCTTGTCTGACATCCCCGCCCCAAGGTGGCAAATGGAATGACAGTCTATGACTAAAGTCCGGGCTCAGGCACCTAACCCTACCCTAGAAGGGTTAGGCAATGGTGATGATCATCTGGCCATAGGGGGGCGGTGGGTACCCCCCCCCTTCCTGCGAAGACCTTGCTACACAGGTGCAAGTAAACGATAAAATGTCACTTCCCTACCCCGGGGAGCCAATGCCGGGTCACCAAATGGAAGAGACCCGGGCCAGCGAAATCAAATAGAATAGAATAGAATATAGATATGTAGATATAAATCCATATGTATTCCTGTTAGCCTTTTGGGGCCTAGTTCCTGGGGCCTTTTGGTGTATCCAGAATTCTCTCGCGCTACCGTCCCACTGGTGGAAATGGCGTGCACAATAAACTAGCCACTTCGGGGGAAGATCTAAATCTAAATCCGGGTTACGTAATTTTTTTTTTTTTTTTTTTTTTTTCCTACAGCCGCGCATGGCTATTTTATTATACTTTATACCTCTATTGTATTGTGCAATGTTATTTAAATAAAATATAAAAAAATAATTATACAAGAAGAGTGTCCTCCAGATGTGAGTCTCACTCACATAATAACTTTTATGTTAACTGTAAACCAAATGTACAAGAATTACAGTCTTTCTGCCCAAACTTAAATATTCAATAAGTAACCCACATCAACCAAAGAATATTAAAACATTTTGTACTTTTACAAACTTTTATAAAAATAATAATTTTTATAATAAGATATAATTTTTTCTTAAGATAAATAAAAAGATTTATGGAACAAAATTAAAAGGCATTATAAATCTTAAAGAAATTTGCATTCAGTTTAGCTAGTATAATTATTTGTAATATATATCTTTAATAAAGTAAATTAATGGCAATTAATGGCAATATGATTATGCTCGGGAATTTAGATTGTCTATTGACTTATTTTTAAATACCCCCTTTCTGGGGTTAAAAAAAGTCATGATATAGTCAAAATTTATGTTGATCACACACACATATATGTTCTCTTTGCAAGCTAAATTTATTAGATATTCACTGGCAAACATACATACACCAGTTATTGTGTCTTTTTAATTCTTTACAATACATAAGTATTGTGGAAAATTGTATAGGGGGTTTACCTGTATGTACATCAACTTTATATGCATACATACAAGTAACAATGGTTATAAATGACATAAGTTTTTAAGGGGTGGGACCGGTAAGCCAGCGGAAGGGCACTCGGTCAGAGACAACAAAAGCTCAAAAATGCTGGTCATCATCTGACTAAGACCCGGCGTCAAGAACCATTTGTCCTGTTTTCCCCTGACGAACCTACCTAACCTAACCTATTGCATACAAGTTAATCTCAGTGGGAGACGACAGCCATATTGTTTACCGTAGTCACCCCGGTAGACATGTGAGAAAACTTAACCACCCCTGGACCCAGCAGTTGGTGTGATTTCGCGACCCTAGCTGCCAGGAGTGTGGACGTGGGCCTCATAACCTCTCGCTGACAGTCTAGTCAAGCTATCCAGTGACGGCATGGTATTTCAGCGTGAGGAAGGGGCGTGAATACCGTATGGGTATACACTTGTGCCGGGGGGCGATTACGCCCTGAGAATAACAGTTTTGCTACCTAAAGATTATCCGTGACACTTAAGGATTGCGACAAGGAATTTGTACGGTGTGGCATAAATGGCGCCCTACCGGATATTTGTAAAAAACTACTCTACGAGCCATTGTACGAGCAGCTGGTTGAGCAATTCCAAGATCTCTGGGTAGATGTGTCCCCTACGTAGGCATGTCGTATGGTGGATGTCTCTCGACAATATACGGGGTGAAACTGCGCAATTGCCCTTCAGGCCGATGCATACGGATCTCCGCAGTGTTTTCAGAAGATACGGAGTGGTACACGGCATGCGGGTGGCTGGGGCGTATGCTGGGTCTCTCCCAGACGGTTTTTCGTTTACCCTTAAGACATTTAAATTTCATTAGCTGCCTGACTGCGGTGGAGTGCGGTTGTGCACAGCACCCCACCTCTGCAGTTTTGTCAGGAGAGCCTCATAGCAGACAATATGCCTGAGTATCCGACGACGTAGGGTGAACACTGCGGCTGAGCTTGCTTCATGGGGCGATTTCCCACTTCCCCCTCAAACGGCGCAGTTGTTACTTCCGGCAATCATCAGGGAAACTACGGAGTGCAGGATGATGAGGTTTATGGTGTGGCCCTGAATGGGCCTATCGTCTATCATCAAGTTAAATTCGACGGCTGTGTACAGTCGTTAGTGGAACGAAAATTTGAGCATGTGAGTATTGATGTAACTCCAGCTGTCAAAGTGCGACCATAGACGTCTCTCGCCGCAAACGTGGGAAGTTGCGAAAAATGTCCACCTCGAGGCTGACGAGGAGGACTTACGGAAGGTGTTTTGCAGCTTAATGGTACCGTGCATCTGGCAACCCAAGGCAAGTGGGCGGCAAGGTGCGTACATGGGACGGTCCTGAGGGTACATCTCTCCTCAAAATGAACACTGAGGCACCCGATCCCGTCATACGTCGTGATGCCGAGTTTAGGACCCAAATTCTAGTGGCGTATGCTGGCAGCGACGGACAATGCAGGTTGTGTGGGGAGATGACCATATGCGGCGACGTGTGGGAGGGATCAGTGGAGGCGCTGGCGCAAACAGGTGGAGCCCAGTTACAGGTGTGATGTCGTTAGGGAGATTCCAAATAAACCGAGGATATGGCCATCTGTGGAGTGTAAACTGTAGAAGAGTCTCTGTTGTGCATGATGGGCGAGGCAAGAGTTGTGTGGAGCCGAAAAGGTCCACTTTTCCGGGGACGGGGGAGGAAATGCTAATTCAGCGGGGGTGCAAGGCTGGGGGAGGAGCTCGCGGGTATTTAAAATTTACCTTTTTCGGGCGAGGATAATGGCTTGGCGTGAAATGGTGCCTAGTTTAAAGGGGTGTGGCGGGAAAGGCACGAGAAGAAGGAGGACAATGCAGGCACAGAGGAGTCACCAAGCTCTTGGGAAGGGTCACAGTAGAGGTTGTGTTCCCTTTAGGAATTTTCGGAAAAACATATGGCGTAGAGAGTGTCCGGGAAGAGGGCGGGCGTCGACTAGATGATGTCCCGACGCCCGCACAAGGGTTGGGGGAAGGATGTATATTTCCCTGACAGCCAGGATAAAGGGGATCGAAAAGGGGGGGGGGGGGGATGGGACAAACCACAGTTTACCCTGGGGGAAGAGGCCCGGGAAGGGTGAGAGGAGAAAGGGTTGGAAGCTTGAAAGGCCTTAAGGGGATGCTGGAATGTGAATGGACGGGTACTGGGGTGAAGAGGGAATCTTTCATATGCTTTACGTCGATACGGTGGACGTATCTTTCTAGAGCATAATTTCAGGGGGGGGTAGAGTGCTCGAGGTGGCGGGTATAAGTTTTGACTTCCATCGGCACGTTTGAAGGTGGTGTGGGTTTATTGATAAAGGAGGCGACCCCCTTTTTTTTGCAAAAACGTGAGGGGTGGGGGGGGGGGTGTTGCGTGTGGAAGGGGGTGGATGGGGGAGGGGTAACCTTTTTAATGTGTATGCCCAGCTAAAATGATATGAAAGTAAAAAGGGAAATTTTTTGTGTGAGATCTAGTTTTTGCTTTCGTGGTTTTCCTAAGTGGGCCCTCGTAGGTGGGGGCTGGAATTGTGTGATCAGGAAGGGATGTGGAACCCGGGGGGGGGCAAAAGTGACAGCATTTTCGCTCTTTGGTGGAGTTCAGTTGGGGGTGTGGTAGGTGGGGGAGCGTGGGGGGTGGAGCAACTTTCGTGAGGCAGGGTTTTGCAGCTGGTAACAGGGGGCCT